TTTCCCACTCATACAAATCCGGTCTATATAGACTGGGTTCTCAGGGAAGGATAAGGAATCGTGTCTCATCTTGTTTTTTTTTTAGACCAGAGTATTACATGGTACCTCCCATGAATGAGCTCAATGACATGATTGATAGTAATGGTGAAGTTTGGGTAAATGATTTTGTGGTTGGTAGAGAGGGTTATGGAGAGGTTAAGTTCTTGGGAAGAACTAATGTTGCTGATCTTAATCTTGATGACATTGGTAGGTAATATTCAAACAAGACGACAACATGAAAACAATATTTAACAGAGTCTTAGTATTACCGTTACCAGTCCGGAAGACTGAGACAATAATGATGGTTGACTACTGACTACTCAAAATTATCAATACTCTGATTTATTATCCTGAAAGTTGTTGTCTTTTTTATGTTTTAAAACAATAAAAATGTATATTATAACTATTTGTTTTTTTGTTTTGTTTTGTATTTCTTTGATGAATATTGTATATCAATAATTGCACCCTGCTTCTTAAAAAAATGAACTCTGCTTCTTTTCTTTTCAATTCTCAAAGTATTCTTTAGACGCCGTGAAATAGAAGTCTATCCAGAGAGTTTCCCAAATAAACCCCCTGTGGGAGAAAGGTTAAACAAAAAAGCTGAAATTACTTTGCTAAATGTTTGGCCAAATGATAAAACAACWCACACACCAATTAAAGTAAGTTGAATGCTGTAAAATATCTTTATAGGGAATTAGTGCTTTTCCATGTTAAACTATGAAAATATGACATTTAATTGGAATACTTGATGTATGGAATACTTGTATTTAGATGGTTTTCTACAGGTATTCAATATTTCTTGAAACTCTCTTTAGTAAAGCATTTTGTGTGGATATTATTCTTCAGACACCAGAAAGGTTGAGACTTCAAGGATGGTTGGAAAAAGTTGAAGCAGCCACTGCCAAACTGGATGCCACATTTTTAGATTACAGGCCTGAAACAGGAACTTGGGTTTTTGTTGTAAGTAGATGTTATGATTACTTTAAGTGAATTTTTTATGACATAAAACAGTTACAGTGGAAAGCAGTTGGACTTACCCTTATTAAACAAAAAGGTCTGATCAGAGGAAAGCCAGATGTTTGATTGGGACAATGAACTGAAGTGTCATTTTGTTGTTAGAGCGGATTTCGTATGAGTGGGACACGGTTACCGCACAATTACCGCACCTGGCCTGCAGAATTTTGGTGAAACAATGGGACACTAGAATTTGGTTACAGTACGAWTACGGACACAGTACAGTACCGTCCGTTTCCCACTCATACGAAATCCGCTCTCATTCAACATGATTTTGTGATGCACTTGATCATGATAAAATGTGTTTGGTTTCATTTGTTTGAGCAGGTGGAGCATTTTACCAAGTATGGAATACATGAATTTCTTGAAGCTGAAAATTTAACAAAGAAGCAGAAGAAAGTCACGATAGACTTGGATAAAAGATTGGAGAAAGAGGTGAGATACATATATCATAAAGATTTTGTTAACTTTGTTGTTACTGCAGTTGTTAGTAGTTTCATTTCTATTAAATGTTGTATGTACATGTGCCATATTTTGCTAGACCATTTCTCATACCCTGATCCTTCTCAACTGTTGGGAAATTGAAAAGAATCTGGTAAAATAAATTTTTGTAGTTTTCTTGAATTTTGATTTAGTGCTTGCTCTTTGTCAGGAGTGCCATAAAGATGTTATTTTGATTTAGTGCTTGCTCTTTGTCAGGAGTGCCATAAAGATGTTATCATAGATGATGAAGAAAAGATGTTAATTTCAAAATCTATTGATGAACAGCACCAAGCAAAAATTGCTGCATTTGAGCAAGAAAAAGAGAGTGCATTGACAGAAAGTATGCAGGACCAAGATAGTGACATTGATGATCTGGAGCTCCAGACATTTCCTGGTATGAAAGAGAAATGAGGCTCTAAGCCATAAACATCCTGAGGGCTGTAGACCCTTTTAGTACATTGTATCTCTAGGACAGTTGCTTTGTCTTTATATTTCAAAAATACAACATGTAATTATCTAAATATGAGAAAAATAACTTCAGGTGATACTTCATTTGTATAGCAATTTTATCCTTTAATTGTGACATTGAACTTTGCACAGTTTAAGGTTATATTTATAACTGATTCAAAAAAAGGTTTATTCAGCAAAAAAATTGAATAAATAAATTTAGTTTCACAAATGTTGACTTAGAAGTATTTGTAATTTACAATTTATAATTACTGTTAAATAGCTTCTTTTATCAAAGTGATAATGAAATAAATGTTACATTATTAGTGGTGTAATTGCAATTTTACTTTATGTGAAGATGATGTTCTTGATAATGATGAGGAGCAGTTTGGTGAGCTCCCTGCCAGCCATCAGCTTGCAGCAGTTCTTGGTGTTAGCGCTCATCGTATGCAGGTCATGAAAGCATCCTTCTTTGGGGAGTCTCAGCATGCACAGCCAGTCAGCAAGCCATTACTAAGCGATACCAGGCCATCATCTCAACATACTGCACCTCTTTCACATGGCCATGAGGTTGCTCTATTTGGAAGCCCCAGAAAAGGTAATGTCATCTGATTCAGTTGTTGTGAAAATTCTCCCCCTAATAATTATTATCTATATTTCAAACTTATCACCTGTATTTTAGATGTTATTGCCAAATCAGCAAACTTGCCTTACACAGTGACATCAGATAGTCCATCCTCCAAACTAATGGACCCAAGTGCTATTGGTAGTGCATTGGATAGAGGAACCAAACTAGTAGGAGCAAGGGCAAAGCAAAGACAATTAGTCCCAAAAGAAAASTCCATTACAAATAGGAAAGAACATTTTATCAGTGATTTAGGATTGGTCATGGGAAGATCATTCCGTGTGGGCTGGGGACCAGGATTTACATTTGTGCATTGTGGCCACCCCAAAGGAGAAAAGACAGGCAAAACTTCAACTATTGTCATGTCATCAGTTACTCAAGATGTATTAATGCCAAAGTCAAGACATGTACAGGAGGCAGAGGCTGGTTTGACTCCTTTTGGATTATTTAAAGAAAGAATTAATATTGCTAGCCATTTGACTCAAGACAATGAAAAAGGTTTGGTAAGTCCATTCATTGTAAAACTTTTTCCAATAAATAGGACAGGAACAAACCAAATGTAATAAGTGAATCAGATGACACTAAGATACTACCAAATTGAGTATAGAATTGATGCATTACATACTATTACTAAATGACTAGTTTCCAAAGTACCTATTTTTCAGAATTTGTTTGAATAACTTGCCACAGTCTATGAGATTATATTTTGTAAATCCACCTTCTGTTACTTCTTTTCAATATTATGGTCTTTCTATTAAATTAACTTGGTAATTTGTAGTCGCTGCTACACTGAGCACACAATGCTGGATTAGCTTACAAATGGCAATATTATTGTGTTGTAAGTTAAATGTGTTGTGTTGTAAGGTAAGCTAAAGAAATACTTTATCACAACAGATGCAGCATATTATGGGACTAGAAGTAGAACTAGATCATAGCAAATCAACAATGCAAAATGGCTGTCCATTGTTTGAACCATCACCCGGTACTGAAGGCATCCATCATCATGCTGAAATGTGCAGGAAAAACATTGACGCATTCAGTAAGTTACTGAATTAACAACTTTTAATGCACTCTTTGAACTGAAATTTTCACTTTTGTGTGGTTATGACATGAGTTTCTATTGTTAGTACATGTATCATAATTAGAATTATGCCATATTTACCAGGAAGTAGTCACAAGACTTCATATTGTCCTTGTCATTCATTTGTAGTTTCAGGTCCTCTTCAGGACACAGCAAAACACATGAGCTTGGTTTGGGATTTAGTTGTTGCACTGTGGGGACAGCAAGAAGAGAAAGACATAGATTCATATAGTAACCATATTTTAAGACGACAAGCTTTATGTTCATGGTTTGCAAATGCATGCAAAGAGAAGGTCAAAGCTGAAGTTGATCAGTATGGAAACTTTGAGGTGTGATACTTAGACTGTCARCAAGTACATGCAATTGAAGGGGGTGTACACTWCTGTTAGAACAAATTTGTGATTTGATGAAACAACAAAGAGAGATAGACGACACAAAAAACGAGAATGTCCAATATAACAATTGGCATTGTCYCACAGAATCCTGCAATTCTTTGGTTTTGTTGTCTTGATCAATTACAAGCTTTATTCTGACAGTCAACCCAATTAAAGGCAACTCTACTTATATAAGTTAATGCACTTGTAGTGGGGGGGGGGCTAAACTGGCCCATCACACCCTGTCAGCAAAGGAACAACCCATGAAAATGGCTGTATTAATAGTATTTATTACCATTATTTTTTAGTTAAAAAAATATCATAAAACTTTGTCTGACAAGAGGTGTTTCAGATATTGTTATATTCTCCATACTGATAACTCCAGTAGTGTATAATATTGATTTATCTAATATAATTGATCTCTATTATCTTTTCTTTAATTGACTGTGTAACTATCTTACATTTACTTAATTTCCATTTATTGAATATTTCTTTGTGGTCATCCTTTTGTGATTCATTCTGTGCTATTCAAAAACACTCAATAAATGCTTATTGCAGGAAAGTGATTATTTGAAGGCCATATGGAGTCATTTAACAGGTGGACAGATCAGCCAAGCTTGTAATTTAGCTATAAAGCATAGTGACTACAGATTGGCTATGTTATTGTCGCAAGCTACTGGTCATATATCAAGTAGACAGTTAATTCAACAACAGCTTCATGATTGGGAGGTTCTAAAGGTACGAATGTTTGAATACAATAATTATAATGTTGACCATCTTTAGTTGATATCTTATTTAATGAGAGATTGCATTAACTCTTGTTCTCATACTGATTCCTCTTTCTGCTGCCATTGCTCAGATGGTGTACACAACAGTTGAGAATTATCTACAGATTTTACTTCTCCTGTCATTTATTCAAACAATATCAAACTTGACAAATGTTATCTTTCTTATGGTGTTATTAAAACTTGTTACCAGTTTTTTACTTGAATGTTTAATGAGCCAATTGTTTAATGAGATGATGATTAATTCAACAGGCCGACAACTATATATCAGATCAGAGGCTCAAAATAATTGCATTGTTAGCTGGAACATTGGTATGGAGAACATCCACAAATACTCTTAACACTTGTCATGAACTGGACTGGAAAAGAACTTTTGCTGTGCACATGTTGTAAGTTAGTGGCTTTACTACAATAAATTTGTTGTGTTAAGTAATACCGTTGCTACTGAAAGTAATGTATGCCATTATGACTGTGACTTGTTACTAAGTGGCAAGAAGTCATTTAACCAAACACCTAAATACGTGTATGTTTAGGAACTCCTTAATGCCTGTTTTAAAATACATTATTCATCACATATTTTGTATCCATAATGTTCTGGAACTCTTCTATTCGTTCAGATGTCAGTTCATGGTTATAGTTCTGATATTTTATATGCATTTGGCTGCTTTCGTTGGTTGTTTTTTAAGGTACCAAAGCTCACCCTCTTCATCGATTGCGGAGATTCTCTCAAATTATGAAGATTCCTATCAGGTAATTACTATTGATGCTTGGCAAAATTGTTGCTTATAAATTTCTTCTGGTGTCATATATTTTAGATTTCATTTCAAATCTTAAATTTAGCACGATTATGAAAGAGTACAAACACTAAAATGTGCTCTAACACACATTTTTGTTTGCACTCTAGGAATTTCTGAATAGCTCAAAATGTGTACTTATAGTGTTCTAAGCAAAAATATTGCTAACAAGAAACCAGTTCCATTACTAAACTAAAATTTATTCAATAAGTCATATGATTGTGTATACTTGAAATTGAACAAAGCATTGTACCGAGGCGTCAAGGTACAGTAAAAATTAAAGAACTGATCTGTGATCAGTGTTCCTTAACGCATCGGTCCAATGGTTTGTTCGTGGTCACTGAACCTGCGTRTGGAAGTCGTGAATAACCTATTTGAACATAATTAGGGCACGTCAAGCTATGAGAGTTATGGGGCTCCCCCCCTCCCATCCTACATGGAAGAGAATCATGACTTCGATTACGTTCAAGACACTTGCTATCATCTTATCAAGCTATACTGTGAACGATCTCACAGCCTTGAGAAAGCTCTAGCACCATCTACTTATRCTCCTTTTCAACTCGACTATAGACAGAGGTATGGGCAGTCGATTGGAAGAATTTCAACCTTATTACTTGGTTGATTTCACTTCATTTGCATATCACTCAAATTTTCAATTCTTTTAGATATATATTTAAGTTAACGTTTTCCCTTGGAACATAAAAAAAACTTGCTTTTACTTAATAGCGAGGGAAATTTGATCTTTTAGTGCGATCACCTCATAAGTAGAATCATTTCAGCTATTATTGGCGTATTTATTTTATTGTTGCGTTGGTTAGCTACAAGCCGATTTGCCCTCATGAATTGTCTTGACTTCCTGCGCGCGACTAACCCTATTTGATGCAGTTTCAAGCCAATATCATGTAGTTGGGAAATTAAACTGTATTTTTATTCATTTGTCTTAGCTGGCATCTGTCATTAGCCATGCTGTCTCTTGGTTATACACAYATGTCGTCTTATCATACAGGACTGCTACATACTAGTTTTGCTGCCCAATTAGAGGCTTTGGGWTTGTGGCAATGGTCGGCTTTTGTATTGCTCCATTTAAAAGATTACGCTAAGTATGTCATTACTTCTCTGCTACTATTCCTGAACTTCCTCTGCTCTATACTGTCGTTTGCATTGCTACACGACMGGTCCAGATACCACTTCWCCAGTGCATTTAGCATTAGACTGCTTTGGCGTCAAGCGCCAGGTTGTTTAAGAAATTTGATTGGCGACAGTCTATCGCTAATTGCAAGTTGTGAATTTTGTCTTGGCTGGTCGCGTTGCAATAACAACGATGGTAAAGTATACTATGTTTTATCGATGGTATTCATTGTTTTTGGTGGTAATGTATTAGTAGTAGTATATTATAATATGGTTAGTTTAGTGCATGAAGGAATTGTATTAATAACATTAGGGAGATTGTATATTTTGTTTATTAAGAAAACGTCAATATTTCTCTACATTATGCTGTACGGTGACTGTTGTAATGGTTTCTCGATGCAGTATTTTTCTTTTGTCACTGCCACAAGAAGTGTGTAGACCAATCGACATCAAGATGCCTGTCGACAAGTGCAATAGCAATAGCTCATCGTTGGCACAGAAAGACCAAACACTGGCAACGTACTCTGGTAGACGATAATTAATACTTTAATACTGTTTTGTATCAGGCGCGAGTGTGCTGTCCGTTCTTTATTATACCGCCATTGTGAGTTGTCAACATCAGCAGAATACATTAGAAAAGAAGAGTTTTTACAAGGAAAGCTTCACATCCCACCTGAATGGATTCATGAAGCAAAGGTGAGTGTGCAGAAAAAATATTTTACATCAGGCATCAGAAGTCATGACAATCTCAAAGGGACCAATTACTGTCTTCATACAGATATATGTACCTACTTTTCATGAAAATAGAGCATAGGCTGTCGCAACGATAAAGAAGTTATTCTCCATCACAAATATTCGTATAAAAACACTATAATTCATTGTTTATAGAAAAATAAGGAAAAACCTCGAAGTTCAAGACAGTGTAATTAAGACAGTTTTTTGCATTCATTGAATTCCCTCGATACTTGGTGGTCTCATTTCCCAATGATAAACGTTAATTGATGTGTTTGTTGTTGTTGTTGTTGTTTTACTCTAAAACATACGCTATGCTGTAACAAATAGTTTGTAATTGCACTTATTTTGATATTGTTTTTTCCATAAGGCCATCCGTGCTATGTATCTTAGCCAGGCTGACAAACAAGCATTTCACCTTCTCAAGTCTCAGCAATGGAATCATTGTCATGAAGTTGTACTTAACAGTTTAGCAAGTGTTGCCATCATTAATGGTTAGTTCAATGTGTTCCAATGGAGTTGAAGTCAGTAATTTGTATTCAGCCACTTTTGATAACCAATAGTCAAGTTGTCTATCATAAAGTAGCAGTGTTCTGATGCCTTCCTGCTGACGTAACGTTATTATTTCCAGAGGAATATGATGACGTACATTCCATCTTAACTGAGCTTGAACCACGAGAGAGATGCAGCACAATAAAGAACTGGTCCACGGGTGGACAGGTGCATAAGTATTTTTGAGTAKATTTTGTATTAAGCTRTTTCAGAAAACGTTGAATTATGATACAGGATAGTGTGTTGCAAAACCGAAATGCATTGTTGGACGTTAAAAAAGAGTTTTCGTGGTTTGAGAGCGACTACACCACTAAGGTATAGTCAAAAACTTCAGTGGAAAGCTATCAAGTTTAGATTTATGTCATTTTGAAACGCAGCCAACGTTAAATAGTAACAATGCATTGCGGTCTTGGAATGCACTATGCAAAATCACGTTTATCACTATTACACTATAATTCAATTATTTTTTTTATATTCTTTTTATTCTTTTTTTATTTTGCGTTTGTT